GAGAGACTTTCTAGCGAAGCCGCAGAAGTCATGTAAGTTTGAAGTAACACAACGTTTCATAAAAGCTTACCCGATGTATAGCTCCGAGGTCAACCGCCAGCGCTCACCTCTTCTTCGCCTACCTGCTGAGCTACGGAACAAGATATGCGCATACGCGCTCGGTGGTATGGACATTCGCATCTCCTACAGAAACAGGAAATCGGCCCTCTTTTCTGCATTGTCTTATGATCCGTCCGTCTCGCTCACACCTCTCCATCGACTCGTCGGCTTGACGCTCGTGTCTCGGCAGCTCTACGCGGAGACCAGGATTCTACCATTCGAACTATGCACTATGGATGTCATAAGGTCCTTGTTCCATTATCAAATAGAGAGACTGAACACCACTCAGCGTCAGGCCATATCAATCATACGTACGCATTACCGGGACGCCTGTAATGGCATAGCATGGGAAACTTGGCCAGCGGTCAGGTCGCTGAAGGGGTTAAAGTGCGTGGTAGTCTATGGCTGTCCAACCATGGAGCAATTGAAGCCTGGAAGTCTAATCGAGACTATCAAGAATGGGCTTGGTCGAGACGATGTAGACGTCCTGCTTGAGTTTGAGAGGTGAACTTTTCCTCTTGGCTATCGGCACGAGGCCGTCGAAGACATGGATTCATACGACACCAGCTGGCCAATGAAATCTGGTCGTGGCGTATAGGCAAATTTTGGAGCAACAGCTGGGAAAGGGTGCTCTTTGGCTGACTGGAAGAGGATAGAGCTATTCATCTGAACAAATCGAGCATTCTTTACATCACTTACACCTACCTTTTGTATTCCATGTGCCTGATGAAGCGAACGGTGACCCAGGACCGCATATCCAACTTGCTCTTCATTCCTTGCTCTTCATTCCTACGTGACAATAGAATGAATGCCTACGCAGATCCCGCAACACTGTAGTGGTAGCTTCACAGGGTAATACATAACAAGAAATTCACACCCTATCCATTCACCCAATACTATCAACATCGGGCGTGATACAAAAATTCTTGCTCCCTGAATTTGTTACCCCTGTCACATCTAAAGTCTACTTAACACGCTTCCGCAACTCTAGATATCCTACAACTTGCACTCAACCATGTCCGATAAAGAAGATATGATGGCCGAGGCAGATACAATGTACGTCTGAACGTTGAAATCATCATGACAGACCCCCATGCTGACTACATTGACAGTACACAACGCAACCAGCTCGAGTCGCCCCTCCTAAAGCTGCCAGGCGAGATCCGTAACAAGATCTTCGACTACGTCTTCTCAGTCGGCAGCGTCTACTTCGGTCGCTCACATCACCACTATCGCACGAGCGAGACAGACTACGTGCCGGAAGGATGTGAGCCCACCGATCTACTAGACGTCACATCGACGTGCCGACAAATCCGTTCAGACACCTCTACGCTACTATTCAAAAACAACGTAATCATCATAGACGACCAAAAGATTTTCAAGATAGTTGAGCAGCTAGAGCCGCACCAGCTCGAAGCGATCAAGGCTCTAGAGATAATCTTCTACGACATAAAGGGCTGTATGCCGAACTTGACTACTTTGAGCAGAATGTTCGCCAGGGAGTTCAAAAACATGCTGGGACTCGAGAGGGTAAGCGTTAGGTTGATCTGCTGGCTCCAGGAGGATGATGTACTCGAGCGCGAATGCGAGGCATTTTGCGAGGCGATTAGGAAGAACACTCGTCGTAAGCCAATTGAAGTTACAAATGCGTTAAAACATGAAGACGACGATGAGGGGGAAACGGACGTGGATGAAGAAGAGACAACGTCCGACGAAGAGACAACGCCCGACGAAGAAGCTGAGCCCGAGGACGAAAAGACTGGAGATGATGACGACGTGTCAACATCTATGAAAAGTATGTCGTTGGACACCAAGACTGCCGTGGAAGAGGACGATCTTATGGAGAAGTAACGCTATCCTACTTACAGCTGTTCTCGGTAAACGACTTGCAGAGCACGACCTCACGGGCTGCTCCAATATCGATAGCAACTTATGTATACACAAGAACAAATGCCTATATTGAGTCTATAACTGCCATCGTAGCTGACCGACCAGTAATCCCGACACATTATACGTGCATTCAACAGCACCCACTATCTTCTCACTTTCCTTGGAATCGTAGCCACGACCCCAAGACTTCCTAACTTTCAGACCAAGCCCAACGCCAAACCAGCGCCATGCCGAGTGATATCAATATGCAAGCTGTCGTAGTAGAAAGGAATGAAAACGCCCGCAATACCTGCAAATTCGTGTTCGCTAAATGCTATGCATGTCATGTCGTCACCGTTATCGTGGATACTTAGACGCGGATTCCCGCGCCAGAACCCCATCGTAGCTTCCGCAGACCGAGGCCAGTGCCCTTCATGCCTGCAGCAGCTTCCTTACCGCAGCGTCCGGCCTCGGAACCTGCAGTGCCAATCTGACCCATCGCCTCAGCATGTCCGGTCTCTTTACCAACGACATAGCCAGCCGAGAAGCCGATGGCGCTGACCAGGACTACGACGCCAGCGCTGACGACCCAGGTAAGCAGCGTCGGGCTGATTTCCTCAATCATCGGGGTTGTCTTGCGTGCCTTTTTGACGGTACGGCGGTCTTTGCTACTACTACGAGCACCGGGTACCGGCGGACTTGCTTTGCGCTTGGGCTTATCAGAAGGACTGCTGCTGGTGCTGCATGGAGAGGATGCGGTCTCTTCGGATATGTTGCCCAAGGCCACAGACTCTGGGACCATGCGGAGGGAGGATGGATCGACTCGGGTGGATGAGGGAGTGTTCGCGCGCGGTTGGCCTGGCTTCGGGAGGCCACGCACAGCGGCAGCAGCAGAGAGCAACGTGGATAGGCTGGCGCGGAGGGCTTCGTCGTGGTCGGGTTGGTAGTTGGGTGCCATGGCATTGTAAGGGTTATGCTGAGGGTAGGAGTGCTGTCGCTGTCCAGCCGGCCTCACGTTCCTGCGAGGTGTGTACAGGGTGCCGGACTGCGACCGAATAGCTTGTTGGTTGTTCGGATGCGAGAAGGCGTTTGGCCGTGGCTGGAACTCTCGCCTTGAGGAACGCGGGTAGTTGACCGCCGTCGCATTCTCATCGTCGTCGTCTTCCCTCTCAGACATGGTCTCCGAAGACGCGACAGACTGGGGAGTTTGCCTCAAAGGTGACGGAGCGATGGCCTCGTTCGAGGATGTCATGACCCTGTCCGACTCGCTTTCGCTCTCCTCATACTCCTCCTGACTACTGTTCCCTCCCGCTGTGATGCGGTGTCCAGTCCCTATTGAGAACTGACCGCCGCCTCGTGAGCGTCTGTTGGGCCGCCTGTGCGCGTTGGAGTCGTGCTGCACCGTAAGGCCCGTTGTGATGATCTCGTCGGTCGCAGAGGATAGGGAGGTGGACGAAGGCGCCGATGCGAGATCAATCCATGACTCTGTGTACGATGTGTCAGCTGTTGCTCGACGTACAGATGCAGTGAAGTATTGAAAGAGAAGGGGTCATACCCTCTGAGCGTTGCCTTGAAGACGCAGCGACATGTCGAGAAGGAGGCATGGCTTGGTCCTGGTGGTTCGCGTCGTCGGCCCCTATGTTCTGTCTGCCTGCTCGCGGTGGACGGTGATCGTGCATCGCACCCTGACCTTCACAAACTCGAGCCTTGGAAAGAGCTCTGCGGCGCTGGACCTCTGCGATAGTCCTTATATCCCCGAGCCCTAGGTTGACCGGTGGTGTGGAGGTATGCGCTCAAGTGGATCCCAAGGGCCGTTCCGACTTCGGTTCTTTGTTAGGACTCGGAACGCTACAGCTTGTTGATGGAAGCAAGAAAGGCCAGCGCAGCTCTGAAACAGCTTATCGGGGCCCAGAAACAAGGCACGGCACCCAGAGCCACCGAATCCTGTCGCGGCGACGCTGCGAGTCGTCGTTGGAGATAAGGTAAGGCCGCGGACGAGCTGACGCTATGTAGACTGGCTCCCCAACTTGCGCACGGCCAGGGTCTGGGCGTAATGACGTTTCGTGGGGAAGGGTGGAAAGCGGAGATCACGGTAATCGCCTTGGGCGGGGCGCGAAGGAACACGACAGAGAGCGACCGTAGCAAGCGGAAGGAGACGAGTTGATGTAAGGAGAGATATCGCAAGGTCGAGGTTGGAGTACGTAGACGGCTGCTCGTTCCTGACCCCGTGTCCCGTCTGGTCGTTGGCGTATGACCATTGGCAGTAGGTGTGGGTGACGGACGAATCAGACGTCGCTCACTCCCCTTCCTATCCAAGCCTGGCGAGTCTAGACGTGCTCACCTGCCTTTATTCAGGACATGCGCATCTACCTCCTGAGCGCATTTGCCCTGTGGTCTGCGGTGTGCAAGACATGGTCGCGTAGTCGCGCAGCCTCATCTCTCAGTGCTACGTACAACCATGCCGAAGATTATACAGATCGATCATCACTCCACCCTCCTCGACGCTTGTTTACCACACGCTATCTATAACGTCATTATCTGGGGTGTGAAGCGAGTCGAGTTGCGCCACGTAGACTTTGTTCTTCTTCGACATGGACTGGACAAGGGAGGCCAGCTCTCCCGGGCATGCTTTGCAGGAGATTCGCGTCCTCCAATACCGCATACTGTAGGTTCGCTCATCTGTGTCGACTTCAAGTTCTTCTTTCCTTGTTCCCCATACTGCTTCTGGAGTACGTCACAGGCTTGGTATGAACAACTGGGGAACCCTTGCAATACAAATAGCGATCCTACGAATGAGATGCAAACACACCGTCCAGCTCGGTGTCCAGTGCGCCGAAAGTCAATTTCGTATGGTACAGATATGGAACATCGACTCCGATCCATGCAGATATCATACCACTGTCATACATCCTCCTCTATGCGTGCGGGTATTATAGCAAAATCGTAAGCCGAGCCGCAGGCTTAGGGAAATCCAAAATATATCGAAATGCGTTCCAGTTCATCCAGACCAACCCCCATGTTTCGTGAAATCTCTAGTTCTTCTTCTCTTCTTTCTTCTCCTCCTTCTTGGTCCTACTCTTAAAGAAGTCCGAAATGCCGTCCTTGAACTTCTCCCAGGGTGTGCGATTCAGGTGGTTACTGAGTTGACGATATTTGTACATCTCAGCCCAGCAGTCGCGACCCCATTCGCAGCCAGCCATGTTGACCATAAAGTCGCGATCTTGCTCTTGGTAGTGGATATCGGGGTTGTCGCCATTCTCACCGCATGCGCCTGGTGGGAAACTCATGATTTGGCGTTGCTGGATAAAGGCGACGTGAGGCCTGATCCAGGGCTGGTTCTGGTACATGTACTCAAAAGCGTCCTGCTCCTTGTGCTCCCACTCCATATGTTTTTGTTCGTAGCCGACAGGGTCCCACCAGATGTCAAGCAGCCTGTCGGTCCACGCGCTTCTTCGCACCATGAATGAGCCCAGATTGAAACCGCCACAGTCTTGGGGTAAGAGCATGTTGACAGAGTCGACCTTGCCGTCTCCCACTGGTGAGCGTGTCTCGGGGTCGAGGTATTCGTCGGTCAGAGGATGGGTGATGTTGAGGGGGTTGTAAACGTTGATGTCGCGATATGTCACGTCTTGTAGCTGCTTGAAGACATGCTTCTGAAGGGAGTATGTCGGCTCCATAATGAACGTGTTCGTATCAAGCCACCAGAACCTGCGAAATATTAGCCTGGACCACATCATCATCACGCAGCACGTACCATTCAGCATGCGGGTACTTGCGCATGGCGTTGCGAATGGTGTCAACCTTCTCCCAACTTTCTCTCCACTCGTGCGCATAACGCTTCTTGGTGCTCATGTCTACGATCTCCAATTCGTAGCCCCAATTCCTTGTGTACTTCTTCTTATTCTTGACGCTGTCGCGTTCGATAGCCCATTCGCGGGGACCTTTCCATTCCATAACACCTCCACCTTGGTTCGCTGCGAGTATAACGACGTATTTGCTGCCGCCGCCGAACCATGCGGACCGTCTGTACATACGACGGATGGCTAGAGCTGTCAATGCCAATCGCCAGAGGAGGGGCTTGGAGGGGGTAATGACTTACGTGTGTTTGAATTGTAGAAAATGAAGAAGAATACTACGAATAGTACCAATGCGACCCGTTTCCGCAGACGCCATATTGTCCAAGCTATGCCATTCAAAGCACGCATTACTTTGTTTTGCGACCGCCCACGACCTAGTTTCTCTTTATCGCCGTGGTTGAAGGGCAAGCTTGTAGAGATTCTGCGAAAGTGCTTGCCAAAGAAGCCTTGGTTTCTCGGGGTGAAGCCGGGGTATCCTTTCACCTCAGCACTCCGCTGTTGAGCCGATGCCCAAGTGACATTGTGTGAAGAGGAGCCATTCGGGTAGGGGCTCGTCCGCCCACTGTTATCGTATGGGGTATTCAAGCCCGGGCTCGACCATCCGCCTGGCTGAGGCGAAGGCGATCTCGACATTTCGAAGGCACCTGGCGTGCCAGGAATGGAGGGTAAGGCTTCGCCCAGCGAGCGGCCGTGAAGACCGCTGGTTGTGCCTAACCTGCTTCGCGACTCTGCACTATCCGGAAGGTTGATATTACTGGGCGGCAATTGCCTTGCAGCAGAAGAGCGCCTCCTGCGTTGGCCACTGGAAGCGGAGAAGGAGGATTGGGAAGCCAGCGTGACTTTGGCGGCGTTGGACGGGCCGGGTGGAGATGGAGGAGCGACGCCGACGTGAGGGTCGTGGCGACAGGACAGTCAGCTACAGTCGCCGATGTGATTCGACGGCAGCTGCTCGAGCGTGCGGCACTGCAGAGGCAGCGTTGTGGTATTACTGAGGACAGCTGGCGGCTGGTAGCCAAGTTCTCGAACGGCAGGAGCGCGGCGGTCGCACTTGAAGCGGGAAGGAGCGTCGGGGAGAATGCGGTGCAACGTCCAAGGCTGTCGTCTCGTCAATGGCAATTGATATAACGAGGGACGGGAAACAATAAAATACTACAATACGTCGGGGTGTATAGCTGCTGGAAAGGAGTCTGGCGATAACCCAATCTAGGTCTTCGAGTTCGCTGCTTGGCGTGGATCCAAAAGGAGTACGCTAATTCCGCCTTGCGCGCACCTCCAGGATTGACTACCCTTCAAGACTCCAATCTACTCCGCGGCAACGATAGACCTCTGCTCTACGGCCTTGTGTGGCTTCAATGCGTCTCGTGGAGCGCGAAAGACGCTGATATACAGCAGCTGTGGCATCGTGTGGTGATATTAATAGTTCGTATTCGGATAGCTGCACCCACATCGCCAGCAGGCGCGCAAGACCGACTTTGATAACAGCTGTCATGAGTTGTTGTGCGTCCAGCAACTCCAAATGAGGTGTCTGATGTTTCCCAAGTGATTTTGGCACCAGTGTGTTTGCATGTGCCCCGAAAGGTAAAATGCGAACGTGTGGTCGCAGCTTCGGCTGACCACATTGTGCACGCTTAAGCCGTGGCCGCCTAACGGCAGACGTCGCAGAAGTATGCATATCACTATATGCTATACAACCTGATAGTGTGTTCAAGAGAGTACCTATAACCGGCGATGGAGTCGCATCTATACAGTGGTGGTACTAAGAAGAAGAGTCCCAAGCACCTGTTCGGCTGAACACCACTGGCCCAATCTCCACGACTTCACCACTGCTACCACTGACTGCGGAATGCTCATGGAATGGAGAAGAGCCTCCTCAGGTACTTATAAAGGCATCCACCAAAGAGTAGACAGGGAATTGGTCGGCGCATACAGACCGCACCGACGGCTAGCTAGCGCCATCTTGGCGGCGCCTTTCTCGTCCAACGGTTGGTGGCAGCCCTGATTGATCTGGCGCTTGAGTTACGTCGTCCTCGCCCCTGACTGGCCCATCTCAACTTTCACTAGACACGACATCCAGCTATGCTTCTGGAGCGTCTCAGATTTCGCATAGTGTTGTACAATTCCAGCCCAGCGAATCCACGGCGGTTACTGAGCCTAAAGCCTGGATACATGGCGCTCTTCATGAAGCAGATCCACCTGGTGGCTCCAATCACCTTCACTCGGGACCCGTTGACAACGCCTGTTGCGTCCAGCACGCTTTGACTCATTCATTCGTAGTCGCCAGTGCTGCCACATTACAGGCTGGAGCGGAACTCTAGGTGAAGGAGCTATGCACTATGCGGTATGGCAGCAGTTTGCCTGGTAGGCGGCAAGGCCATCGATGGCCATGTAAAGATCCGGGGTTGCGTGTTCGCCCAAGAGCAAGAGCCTCACCATTCTCCTTTTGTTGCGCCTTTACCGTCTTCCGTACCTTTATATCACTCTCTTTAACAGTTTTCGCTGTCATTTGCTTTATGCCGTTTTCCTCGTTTTCTTTTTCCATCGTCACGTAATAGATTTCGGGCCCCGCGACACCTCCACAATAGCAACAACAATAGCACAGCCACATAACGTCTCGGCTTCACAATCACTTCGACGCCGACATAAGCCATTGTTGGTATCACCTTCGTTTAGTATCGAATACCAACCGACGGAAGACACCGACGGATAGCGCCAACGATGAGCTCGACGAGGAGAGATGTATACGGCCAGCAGCCATCTCTCAAGCCATCATCGAGGTCGACATTCAATACCGCACACCAAACGGACAGCGATCCTTACGCATACGACGTACAGGTGGATCGAGAAGAGCAAATATCGGTGCACTTCAACGATGAGTTTGACGGAAGCGCAAACCCAGACAGGTCAACGTGGGACACCGAGCCCCATGTTGAGTCGCAACGAAGAACGTCAAGACACAACTCGCGATCATTCGCAGGACGCGTTTCAAGGCAGAAGAGTCGGCGGCGAGAGCTTCTGGGAAGACCGGCGAAGCCTGGAATTACTGTCGATACGAGCTTCACAAGACATAGAGGCACCGAACCCCACCAGGTCTTCCCCCAAGGTGGAGAGAGAGGAAGCGGGTCTGTTCGCAGGTCGCCATGGTTTGGCTTAGGGCGATCTTCGACCAGGAATAAGGGCTTGGGTATCACCAAGGGTACACCTCAACCGAACAGCACACATCGGAAGAAGCCAAGCGTCGACCGGAATGATCTAGACACAGCCATTTCGATGACACCCGGCGGCAAGTCGTGGCAAGAAATATCACCTTGGGATCGACGTATTCCAATCGGAATATCAGTGCCCACCGACAGCATCTCCGACTTCAGCACGCTACAAGCCAACCGACCTCGCGCTGGCAGTGACGCTACTCTTGTGACACCAAGCATTATCATCACTCCCGCAGCAGTGAAGTCCGTTTGGTCTCCAGATACTCCCTTTACAGAATCCGATTACACGCCGAGCATTTACTCTCGATACCAATCGACTTTTGCGAGCTCGAACGTTCCTCCAGTTCCAGCTCTGCCTGCTGGTATGTCGCAGGCACCAGGCCCTAGTGCATCCAGAGACACACAAGGAGCGACTGGCCACGCCAGGAACGATACTTTGGATTCAGCGGGGACTGCCTTTGAAGAAGAGGACGATGACGCTAAAAGGAAGGATCGTATAATGTCTACCAGTACCGTCTTCGAAGAGGACGAAACACCTCTAAGAGAAAGAAACGTAGAGAACTCTCTGGCTATTGACACATCCATGGTACCCACCCCACGACGATCACAAGGTTGGTGGAATGTCATCACAACCCCATTTGTTATGACACCAAAATCTTCAACCTGGACCGAACGTGGCGGAGACCGAACACCAGACGTACCGATGGTCCCTTTCCAGTATGGTACCCGAAAAGCAAACGAATCAACACCACTTCCAAACACATCCAACACCACGGCGGCGACAGGACCCAGCGTCCCAATGGGAGCAGAATCGGAGAAAGCCTTAGCCTACTCGTCGCAAGAACCACCTTCTGATCCTCATCGCGGTGTTACGTCGCCACTTTCTACTATGTCTGCCTCGCCAGTCGTTGGTACGGCCGCCATCGGAACTGTCTTGATGCCCCGTCAGGTCGAGGAGCCACGGCAGATCAACGTCAACATTGAACTGCAAGATAGGCGACCGATGCCGGACAACTATTCCGTTCGAGCTAATTACCCACCGCCTGCACAGAACTTGCACACGTCAGCGCCAGCACAACAAGTGAAGAGGGGAGTGTCTCCATCCGCCAATGCCAACAGCTCACAGCAGAGCTTGCCGGTATTTGCGCCGCCACCCAAGTTCGCCCAGAAGGCCTCACACTGGAGCTACGATAACGTCAGTCGTTCCAGCTCACAAGCGTCTTCACCTGATCTCAAATCACGAAAGAAGCATCGCAAAGTCTGCAACATGATGAGCCTTTGGCCGTTTGGGAAGAAGACAATCCAAAAGAACCAGGATGGCACAAAGGAGAAGAAAAAGAAGCGAGGCATCTGTTTCTGGGGCTGTTGCTGTTGTCTGGTCTTCCTCATACTATTGGCAATCATCATCCCTCTAATCGTGGTCCTCCTCAGGAAGGGCAACGACGACAAGCCCACGGCAACTCAGCCAAGCGCAGATGTCGGCAACCAGTGGCTCAACCTGACCGACTACCCTCCCATACCAACGGGCATTTTGACTGTTGCACAACCCGAAGCTGTGGAGGAAGAAAGCGGCTGCGTTGCGCCTACGACGTTGTGGAGCTGTGCACTACCGAAAGAGCTTCAGCAGTCCATTGAGCCTAACAAGCCCGACCAACCGAACTTCAAGATCGAAATCACGTTTGAGAATGGCAGTGCGGCCGAGTTGCCAAAGTCTCAACGAGCAAAGAGGGCGGCAAATGCAGTCTCCGCTGGTGCTTTCATCCGGTCATTGCTACGTGCACGTGCTGCACCTTCGCCATCTCCTGCGCCTCCATCGACTGCTGACATGAGTTTTCTGGGACAGACCACTGACGGCAATTCTGCACCGTTCGAGGGTGAGGAGACTGGCCTGTTCATCAGCATGCAAGATCCCACTGTCACCGCATCGCGACTGATGAAGCGTGCCGATGCGAGCGATCCGACAAACATCACCGCGGCGATCCCACCACCGATGTTGGCTTCTGACGGAACTGCCGCGCCTGCGAACTTGCTGCCTTTCCCATCTGCGCAGCCTCTACGACTGTACAATCGCGGAAAGGACAATGAGCACTACGGCTTCTACAACTACTTCGACCGCTCCATTTTCTTGAAGCAGATTAACGGCACCAACCGTGGTGGCAATCCTGCAGACGTCGACGGAGGGAGTGCAAAGGACGCCGCAAAACTGAGGTGTACGTACTCGCAGACACGCTTCCTGGTACAGATCTGGACACGCAGCAAAGAAAGCAAGCCACTGCTACAGAACTCGGCCTCAGGCGCATCAGACGTGTTCAAGCGGCCAGGCACCTTCCCTTACCCAGTCACTGTCACTATGGACCGTCACGGCGGCGACCCATCGAAAAAGAACCTTTATTGCTACGAAATGGAGGACGACGGCTCCATCAAAGACGAAGAGTCGAAAAAGTCGTTCCAGTTTGAAGACCGCGGGTTCGGAGGCAACCTTGTCAAGGGCACGCAGGGACAAGGAAGTGTCAGCGGACCCATCGACGGTGGGACTGGCGGCTGCCGATGCCAGTGGCAGAACTGGTTGAGTTAAGGGTCCACTCACTCGGGACCCCAGTCATGAGTTTTCCTTTGTCGAACGAACACTTCCAGGTTGATGGAACTTGCATAGCGTTTGCCTTTTGCGCATAGAAGATACTGCGCCTTTTCATGTCTCTCACTTTTGTTATCAAAATTGCAGCCTCTCTCGTCGGCGACCGGAGTAAGCTCGATTATAATACTTACCCACTGGATGGCTTTCTTGTATAAAAATATCCTTAGCTTGGATCCCTAGTTAATACATATTTATATCAAAACACGAACACCGAACAGTTCACTTCCACCGTGCATGGTCGCTAAGGCTAGCTGTAGCCGTAGCTTGAGTATGTGCTTGGTCCACATGCGGCTCGGCGAGCCATTTCGAGGGATTGTGGATACTGTGCAGTACCGTCGGATGGTACCGTGGCATCTCCGCTGACATCCTGGGCCTTGTGTTTTGAGAGCTGAAATGCCGAGTATCGTATGTGTGTATTGGGTGAAGAGAGAATGATTACGCTGGTGGTAGTGGCAAAGACATGATGCCGGTAGTTCCATGGCAGGGTGATATTGCATTCTCCTGCAGAATCGACGACAGGTCCATCATCCCGACTCTACTGCCGTGGCCGTTCGAGACGAATCCTCGGATATGAAAGTCGTTCCTTGTAGTCCCACTTCGGGAGTAAGCAACAGAGATTTCCTCGGATATGCGTCTGTCAGGCGGCAGCACGTACCCCAATACGTTCGGAGATAATAAGGGCAATGTCACTTGGCAAGCGTTGTTGGTGTTGATAGGGACGTGGGAGGATGGCAGCGGAGGAAGTGTGGATACTCCGCAGAACTGACGAGGGTGCATGCGACTAAGCAGTCTAGCAGCCCTGCACGGCCCAGATTCTCGGACCCCGCCATGTCCACTGATCTCGCCCACGTTCTCTGTGCGGCGCTCTCATTGGCCCTCCAGCGCCTCATCCTTTGAAGACCTTTCGTCGCCTCGTACGTGCAAAGTAGTGGCGACGCGGGTCAAAGTGCGTCAATGGCGCGGGCGGCCTGGGCAATTGATCTGTTGCCATGCCTCCTGATCGCAGGCTTGGTGGTGCTTGTCCAAGCCCGCAAAAGGCTTGTCCAAAACGTCATCGCTCCAGCAGCTATCGCGAAGTAAACCTTGGTTACACCGGAAATCTGGGGACTGGGCGGGTGTCTATGGCACAAAAAGGGTCTTTCAGAAAGACAATCTTTAGCACTATGGGGCATAGAGCAAGGCACATAGCAGATGCGCTCGCTCTCGGCCCAATTAGAGGCTGTTGCTTGTGCCGAAAAGGCTGGGATTTGCTGTCGCGTGAGCTCCTTCCGGACTGGGTGGGCCCTCCAAACTCGTAGCATACTCGCGTCCGTAACGTTATGCCCCCGCCGGAAGCGACGGTCTCTACACTAGAATTTTCTTCCCATCCGTGGACCCTTATATAGCCTGGTAGCATCGGCGTCTTGCGAAATGCTCAACTTTGTTCACCCAAGTTCGCGCTCTCTTTGCGCCCCTGCCTCTTCTCCTCCCCTCGGCTGAACGCGTGGGACCTCTGACCCTCAGTTCTTACGTACTGCGACCCTCAAGAACAAAAAAGCGCACTGCCACCACGTGAAGGCGCATTCATCATCAATCAGCGCATACACACTCCCGGAGTCGGTTTCGTCATCGGACCGTCCGGCTAGTACTAGGATCTGGCAGCGTGCTGAATCGCAGATCCCATCCACCACTCAGGAGCCACCCACGTCGAACGTGGTACTGCTCTGCATTGTACGTGGGACTACTCGCGCTACAGACACCACCGGGTGATCGGTATCCCTGTGGGACAATCAGCATTCTTGCATTACAACCAAAGCGCATATAAGCTTCACTAGGACCCGCGCTTCTGGGCAACGCTTTCACCAGCCATCTCCACCATCAGCATACAACAACGAGATCGCCTCGATCCTCGTGAACTTGCTGCGATGCCGGAACTTCGCGATCCTACGCCACCTTCCCTCCGGGATTATGGTATCGCTGCACCCCATGGACCCAACATGACTGGCGAGCACCAAGCAACTCAAGACATTGACATCCGGAATGACATGAGCGAAAATGAATCGAGCGTATTCCATGCCCTGTTGCACCCGGACGACCTCTACAATGCCAACGGCACCTACTGGGCAGATCTGCCCCTGGGTCAACGGGTCAAGTTCATCGGCCAAGTCGACAAAGCTGAAGCGAAAGCCGAAGCGAGCTACTTCTGGGATATGTTCAAGAAGGACCCGCTTGCGCCTATGGGCCACTACTTCCGCACATGTGTGATCCCCGGTGCTGGTCTTGGTCTCGAGGGGTAAGTTCTACGATATTGTAGCTTAGAACATTACTAACAATTGTTTAGATACGTGCTCTTCTCTATTGGCAACGTCAGACCTCTCTTCCAGGCTGCTTTCCCGGAATGCTGGAATGATCACGAAATCTGCGACAAGACCTGGCTCCAGGCTGTCGACTACCTAGAGATCTGTGGTATCATTGTCGGTCAGATCCTCGTTGGTATTATCGGTGACTGGCTCGGTCGTCGCTTTGGTCTCATCCAGGACGCCGTCATCATGTTTGTCGGTCTTCTCATGCTCACCGCCGCCTGGGGTGTTACCCAGAACGGATGGGTCATCTGCTACGTCTGGGCTCTCTTCTTCTACGGTATCGGTGTCGGAGGCGAATACCCGATGACTGCAACTGCCGGTATGGAGAACGCCGTTGGCTCTGGCAAGGTGTCCACCAAGGACGACCGTCTTCACCGTGGTAGGAAAGTAACCAGTGCTTTCCTGATGCAAGGTTGGGGACAATTCTTTAACCAGGTCATTTTGATCATCTTGCTCCTCATCTTCCACGGTGGATCATCGCCCCCGTACTCGAAAACCTTGGCTCAGTGGACCTACCGCGTGTCCTTCGCCATCCCCGCTGTCGGCACACTCTGGCTTGTCTACTTCCGTTACTACAAGATGAAGTCCGCCTCAAAGCAGCTCGCGCTGTCCAAGAAGAAGTCCAACGTCACCGGCTACGACGTCCAGTCTTTGAAGCTCACCTTCACGTATTTCGGGCCCCGTGTCCTAGCCACTGCGGGGGCTTGGTTCGCCAACGATGTTTTCTTCTACGGTAACAAGCTCTTCCAGAACCAGTTCATCGACATCATTACGCCTGGCAACAAGTCCGTCATGACCGGCTGGTTATACAACTTGATCAACGTCGGTGTATCGCTATGTGGCTACTACCTCGCTTCCCTACTCATCGACAACAAGTTGTACGGCCGCAAATGGATGATGATCGTTGGTTTCCTGGCTGACTTCGTCCTCTTCATGATTCCCGGTTTCGCCTTTGAATACTTCACCAAACCCGAGAACATTCACGGTTTCCAGGCCATGTACTTCTTGTCCTCCTTCTTCAACCAGTTCGGACCCAACAGTGTTACTTTCCTCGTCGCTGCCGAGGTCTTCCCCACACCCGTCCGCGCCACTGCCCACGGATTCAGCGCCGCTTGCGGCAAGGCGGGTGCCCTACTCGCTGCCGTGCTGTACAACTACATCGATACCCAGACCAAGTTCTACTTTGTCCCCTGGTTCGGTCTCGTCGGTGCTCTCCTTACTCTACTTTTCCTGCCAGACACCACTGGTCTGGATCTCAAGGAGCAGGAGCGTCGTTGGGCTTACATTCGCGCCGGCAAGGAGCACGACTACCACGGTATTGCCGTCCACTGGAAGCACATGTCCTGGTGGGAGCGTTTCCGCGGCCAGCACAAGGACTACGATGCCAAGCTCGACTACGAGCAGAAGATCGCTGAGATGCGCACAGATTGGCTCGAACGCCAGCAACACAAGTTCTCTGAGAAGAACGGCTGGGAAGGTGTTGAGGCGGACGAGGACGATCACACCGACGTGCACAACTACTTCAAGCGTACCACACCTGGCTCATCGCACGGCCCTGAGCCCATGATGGCACCCAAGACGGTGTCGGAAAGTGACTCAGCGGATGAGATTACGCGGGAGAAGCAGCTCTAGTGGAGCTACGAATTTGAAGTTTCGTTGTAGATCCGATGGATAAAATGTTGATTATTAGCGTTATCGTTCTTTTTAGCATTACAAAGGCGTTTCTATCGTCTTGCGCTCGACGCAGAGGTTGTACCATGATACATATAATGAAGATCGTTATGACAAGTATGTTCTTGGACCCATCCAGACCGTTTTCATTCCCGGCTTGAGTTGTTGAGTTTGATGAGGAGAGCGGCGCGGCAAAAGCAATCATTGACAGAATCTCGGTGCATTGTTGAACTCGATCAGAAGTAATATAAACGCGCCCGGCTAAGCTTCTCTGATACACGGCGTGCAGTCGTGACCGATGTTGAGCATGCATACATAAAGTTGTGCACGAACAGCAGTCGCTTGGACAGAAAACCTCTGTTCGGCTGTTCGACCCAGCCAACAAGACAGCCACCGGCGCCTAGCCCCGGGCGCAACCCAAACAACAGCCTCTGGTTTCACGAGCGACACCTCGGGATGACACAGCAGATAGGCGGACGGACACCTGCAGTTGGCGGCGCACATGAAGAAACCTTACCGCAAACCTTCACAGGTTTCGGTACACGCTTGGTTTCAGCAGTCAGCCATGGTGGCAGGACGTGGTAATTGGAAAAGGGCAGGCTGGGTGGTAGCCCGGGCAACTATCACCCACCCGCTTTTTCTCCACGATGCGCGCGGCGGTTTGGCGGTGACAGCTGCCTGAACTTCGGGTTGCCGGCGCTACACCGGAGTAGAGTACAGTTGGCAGCTTGGGAACCGCAGCAACAAGGCTGGATGTCTGGTGTCAGTCGTGTCTTGTGCAGATGTCTACGACATTGGGACCTGCGCAAGTGCAGCATGTCAAATGCAAGTCGTAGCGTCGGACCTGATGTGTGGACAGGGTGAAAGGAATCTTCCCGAAAGCTTTCGCGGCTTTTTCGCCGAACAATCTGCAGGCGCAAGATTTGC